GGTACAGTAAACCAGCTCCTGTGCACCTAGAGAACATGCCACACCAGCAGTATTTGTAGATGTGAGTGTTCGTGAGTGCATGAAAGTGAGAGCTGGATAAATATAGACCACTAAATGATGTCATGATGGTATTTTGTGTCATGTTTTAAACAATAATAGGTAGCCTTTTGAAATGTTTGTCAATATAATACAAGATGTTTCTTTATATAATAATTTGCCAGTGCTACAGTGGGTTTATATGCACCTTAATGAATCTGCTATAAGCCTTATAGTTAAATAATTTATTCATATACTGGATCTCAATTGTGATCTGCAGTATACCTTTTTTCTTCCTTTTATACATGGTAATAAGTAGCCAATTATATGGATTATAAGGTTGGATCACCAGCTGGGCAAAACAGGCAACAACCCAAAGGTCCCAGACCTACAGGGGGGCCCAAATGTCCCACAAGGGGAGATCTAGGTTGGAGTAACTGGACTTGGATAATGCTGATTTATTTCATATTAAGTTTAGAGCAATGCCCCACCAAATGCTCCAACTGCCCCACCAAATCGTCCCTCTTCATCCCAACATTTAAAAAATAACTATAAAGTAGGGACACTCAGCATTTTCCGATTATCAATATTGTTATTTTCTTTAACCGACGACCGATAAAAATAAATTAATTTAAAAATGCACTATTTTGGCTCTATTGGTCTGTAGTCAGCACTCTTGTGGTCTGGCGGAGAGTCCCGCCCACAGCACGATCTGATTGGTTATACGTCACGAGTACTAGCCTATCACGCTAACGGCTGCTGTGTACAGAGACGGTCACAGGTTTGAGCAACTGCGGTTAACGAGCGGAGTCGTGTGTCGAAGGTAAGACAGCAGACGTCACTGAAGTTTTAATAAACACCACAATCCTCTACACTGAAGATACAACAACACTACACTCTGATGAATAAGTTCACCTGTTGATTCAAGACACATCGAGCAAGAGAGAGAGAGAGAGGGAGAAGCTAGCGCTAACTGCTAAGCTAAAGTAACTAGCTTATCTGAATAGCACATAAACAGCAGCTGAATTAGTAAAAAGTCGCTAAAAGGAGCAGAGAGCTGTGAGTGCTGAAGCAAAACTAGTGTAAGTTTAAATGTACAGCAGGTAGTTTGTCACTGTGATGAAGAAAACAACAGCATTAAGTGTGTTCAGACCGAGCAGCAATAAATGCTACCAGTAATTGAAACTCCAGAGACTGGAGATGAGACACTACACTGACGTCAGCACGTCAACAGCCTCTAACTACTGTCAATGAAAAGACAGTAAAGTAAAATCACTGTGTAAAAATGTTCTCAGACAAAAATACAAGTGTCTCTGAGTAAACCTGTTGCATTTTAAAAGGGGAGGAGTAAAACGTCTTATTTGGTGATAAAAATAATAATATATGATAAAACCATTAAATTAAAGAGCATCTTTAGGCTGCCAGGTGTATCAGTTCACAGGTGAGGACAGCACCGAAATCAACCAATTAGTTCCAGTCAGGCATTTTGCAGTCTGAGCATACAACTGATAATTACTAATATAAACTCAGTTGTCAGTTTATACTTATTATTACTTATACCATTTTTTATTTGCCACAGACAAAAAGAAACGATGTGTTCAAATCACCATCAGTGGTTTAAAGTTTGTTTCTTGTCAGCTTAAGCTTTGTTTGCGTCTATTTCACCAGTCAGCATTAGCAGGCAATATGGCCACGAAACTGTCACTATGGTTACCTGCTAATTAGGGAGCAGGTTAAACTCTTAACTGGAGGAATATATTTGTGGTGTCTCGTTATACGGTTTTGACAGACACCTGGCAGCCAATCAGAGGCAGGTTTTTATTAAGAAATATCAGACTGTGCAACATCAACGCAGCTTTATGGACATCTTGACTTGTGATAGCAGCAAACACACAGGTGTAACTAATAACACTAATCGTGTCCTCATTCTATCTCAGCGTCCCTAAGCCGTGACGATTAGCAAGCCTGAGCTGTAGCATGCTCGCTCACGGCCTTGTGATTAATGTTATTAATTACACCTGTGCTTTTCCTGCTATAACTTGTCAAAATGTCTGCCATTAAAAAAAGGCCTATTATAGATCAGTCGTGCTCCTTTTTTTTTTTACTATCCTTAGTAACCTTCTGCTTTTATAATTTCACAGTTTGTCACATTCTCAGTTTTAGTTTTCTGTCATCTCTTCTTCCAATTACAATAAGAATGAACTCTGCCTCTTTCTTCTTCTTCTTCCTTTTCTTCTTCTTCCCCAAACCGATAAAGCAACATTGACAGCATCCTCTGCCACTTTCTGCTTTGTGTGTTGTTTAGTCACCACAAGAGATGGTTTGACTAAGGCGTAACTATGGAAACCACACTCTCTCTGCTCACAAAATCCAGCAGTAGATGGGACAAGGTGTTTACATGCCTCAGTGTCACAGCTCCAACTCATTGTTGGATTACTCTGGATAAAAATTGATATTTTAATTATTTAAATGGATGTGATGCCTGATTGTTTGGGTAATGATATAATGTTTTTTTTCTTGGATGAAGTTTGAGATTGTGCTTTTGCTGCTCATGCTAATTTGTTCTTTGCAGCTACACTTTTGTACTGAGTTGTAAACACATTACTTCCTATGAGCATGTCTTGGCTGTTTGCGACCGTCGCCTAAATTATATTATATGTGTATAACATCTTCATAGTTACAAGTGATCAGTACAGATCTACTAAGTGATATGATGGAAGACCATAGTGGACCGTTGACAACTATTGCCCAATGCACTTATCCAATCCATCAAAACTGCAACAAGAGTAGAATGAGATGTGAATAGGGCCGTTAATTCGAGAATATTTCCCAGGTAATAATGTGTCTCCATTAATTTCTTGGTGAGACCACTGAGGGCTCTTTAACAAAGCCGCACCGGGGCAAAATCCATTAATAATACAAATCATCGCACCCTAATTGAAGCCTTATTAGTCAATGATCGCTGGTAGAAAGTTGTGGAGCTAAAAGGGGAAATCATCCTTGAAACAAGACTGGCATATATCCTTACTGTACTTCAAGACTAGAGGTCTAGACAGGCCTCCCTCAGTGCTTTTAATTGGGATATAAATCCAAAGTTATTAGTGACTGTACTCAGCTTTTCTCTTTGCTCTCCGTTAATCCTAAAACAAAATAAAACCCATGTGGATGTCGATGTTCAAACAAGCATCACAAGAGTTAAAGGTCTTTACAAAGTCAGCCACTGATTTATTTTCAGTGAAGCAGCTGCAGGTTTTGCCTGATTAAACAGATTACAGCAGTGATTCAGTTGCTCGATTTGGAGAGGATCATGCTGATCAAACCGTCCGAGGGTATTTTTGGTGACTTCTGTCCTAAACCACACAAAAACATGCAGCTTCTCCTTCTGTGTCACACGTTTGTCTCGGCTGCTCTTTGAACAAATGTTTTGTATCTGCATGAGATGATGAGATCATTGCGAGAAATTTGCACACAGTGAATGCTGGATCAGATCTTTTTTTTTTTTTTTCTCATCGCTGCACATTATCTGGGTGTCATGACACTCGTCCTCCAGAGCTGTAACTCTGGAGAGTCGTACAGCGTGTCTTCCAAGAAGTTTAAAGCCAGTATAGATTTTCTAACAACACGTCGCCTCAGGCTGTGCTCCATTTTTAAGTCTTCCAGGAGGGAAAGCCTGAACGTGGGCTGAGGTCGCTGAGAGACAGCGCAGAGGTTCTTGTTGAGCTGCACATGTCTGAAATGCATTAACCAAACACAATAAGATTTTTATTTATTTTTTTGTATATTTGTTTATTTCTCTTGTGTACACATGCAGTATACGGTATACTGTATCCGGCTGTTGGTTTGTCCTGCGTGCTGCAGCTGTTGGGTAGAAAAGACATCCGAATCAGAGAGACCGACCTTCAGATTCGCAGATCCTGACCTTTCTCTTCATAGACCTTTAGGCAGCTTAAGTAAGTGTAAATCCTCCGCAGCCCTGTTAGAAGTTCCTGCCTGGCTCAGCTGGCCGAAAGACTCCCGCCTTCCTCAGCTACCTTCGCTGAGTGTTTAGTTGTGTTAAGTAATCTATCGGCAGTTTACAGTCTTTCTGTCTGACTTTCAGATGAGCAGGAGGAGAAAAAAAGGACGTTTGGTATACAGTTTGCTCATGCATCCATATTCTTGCCTTAAGTTGCATTATAGCCTTTTATGTGTATATATTTAGCTATTTTTCTATATCATTTACTGTACAACCACCTTCCTGGGGGGGTTAACAGAAGCAGATTGTTTCCATGGAGTCAGTCAGCAGTGGGCTACAACTTTAACCCTCTGCTTTTTAGTCTATATTTGTTTACATAATTTTTTTTCTGACAAGCTGACACCATTAAAGGTCTCATATTTGCCTCATATGTCGCCCTCCGTGTCCCCGCTTCAACTCTCCAAGTCTGAAAACCCGTGGTCAGAAGATACTCTATATACGTTACGCTGTAGCATAAATAGAAACATGGGGTTTTCTATTTATGTCAGTACTTGAATGAAACCAGACACTGAGCCTTACATTGTCTCTGGCCTCATGTCAGTGCTCACTAGTTCAGTGGCTTTTGTTTATATTAGCACTGCTGCTAGAAGTTGTAGTAGTGAGATATTATTGTTGATTATTAATTTTTTTAAATTGCAAAAATCTCACACTTGTCTGGTCTGTCACTAGTTATTGATTTCTTTAGTTTTTCAGCATATATCACTCTTTTTGAGATTTGTTCGTCGTCTTTCTACCACAGTATTGACAACCAATAATGTGCCTATCAAATTTATATTAACAGTTAATTCGTAAAAGTCTGTATTTGAGGAAACCTGAAAAGAATATTGTAATTTTTCAAAAACTTTTAAGAGAGTACAAGCTGCGAAAATCCAATATCCTCCAAATACACTTTTCCCTGACGTTCTTAATTCTTCAGCAGCCGTCCTCATGATGTCCTCCTGTCTTGCAGGGGCGTGGTGCGAGTGGACATTAATCTGCAGGATGTTGATATCGACCAGTGCTCCACCGACGGCTGGTTTGCTGGAACCCATCGATGCAACCTGACCACTATGGAGGTGAGTGTGTCGAACGTGCGGATTAGACACAGGATTGATTTGCTCTGGAAAACTGAACTGTAACGTACACGCGTTCAGTCACATGTCCACGAGGCAGTAAATTGAAAAGCACTAAATCTGTACTGTTTTGTGATGGATGGACGGTGATCTGATTCTTCTTTAATGGCACTGTTACGACCTGCTACCACTTAACTAAACACTATAGGCTTTTAAATTTATGTGCATGAAAATGCCTTTTTAAGCATCTCTTTTCAGCTTATTTAACTTGCTTCCAAAGCAGATCAATATTTATCTGCAAAAACTGATAGTTACACTTATTTTTTGTGTTTTTATTAAAAGAAATATATACAGTGATAGTTATATCTCTTTGTAAAGAATAACCTTATGAATTTATCCTTGTCAAGGATGTGAAGAAGTAAGTTTAGGTCACTGCACCTGCACCTCGTCTCTCAGTTATTACCTTATTTTTTTTATGAAATATGACGCGTTTGTCTCTTGAAACCGAATGCACAGCTTTGCGTGATACTTAGTGGACAAATGGGTTCAATTGGGCCCATTAATTTGTAGTTTTTTGTAGTTCACCATCATCGTTTTACTCATTAGTCAGCTAGCAGAGATACAGTCTAAAGACTTGGTTCCTAATCTCAAGAGTCTGTCTACAAGGTCAAGAAGTAAATGTAATTTAAAATGTAAGTGATGTGAATGTTGGAGAGTTGGACACTGGCAGGAGAAAATAGCCCCGGCAATTTTCATACAGATGAAAAATAGCCTGTCTCAAGGTCCTGGAACATGTAGGCTGAGCTCGTGGAGAAGATGATAAAACTCTCAGCGCTCTGCTATTTTTAAGACGATAACCACATCTCATATTCTGAGATGGGGAAACTTTGAAGCTGAGCCAAAACAGTAAAGTTATGGAACCAGACAGTTAGCTAAAAGATGCTATAACGCGTAATAGCGGGTGATAATTCTTTGTGAGTTTGTCACTATGGGTGACCTGTTTTACTGTATATACAAATAGATTCTTTGTTGGTGTAAATATTTTGATCATAGCTGCTTTTATGGATGTGCATTCCCTGAAAAGAAAAATTAATTGAGAGAAGCTAATCTTCTCCGCTTCCGTCAACAATTAGCCGTTAGCTTAGCAACCTGTAGTACCATGTTATAAGGGAATTGGCAGCACAAACTTTTAAATTTTTTTTATTTTTTAAAATCACTAATTATTAATACCATTGTAACCTTTCTGCTGTGTAGCTACGGTAGCAGCTAGCTCGCTGGTCGATGACTTCTTACCTGCTGTTTCAGCTCCATCGTTAAGAGTGATAGATTCTGAAGAGGTGCTGTAGATCAGACTGCTTCATAATGCATGTGATGTAATGGATTGCACTGAGCCTCTTTGAATAATTAATCACTCTCTTTGTCTGAGTACTTCCACCTCTCCATGGACAGTCGATGGCAGAGACATTTGACATAGTGTGTGTGTCTCTACGCGTGTGTGTGTGTGTGTGTGTGTATATGTGTGTGTGTGTGTGTGTTGGGAGGCAACAAGACGACAAACACATTGTTACTGGTATAGATTTTTAGCTTGGTTTACAAAATAATGATCTCTGTGTGCTTACAGTGCAGGAGTGTGTTAGGAGGATGCTTGCTCACAGCTGAATGATGAAAGCTGTCGTGGTCATGGCATGTTGCAGGATACGTCTTGTCTTGCATGACAGCTTTATCATGAGGGAGTGCTCATTACCATCATATGTGCTAGAGAAACAACATAGATAGGGAGAGGTACAGAGGGAGGAACATACATTGACCAACACTGATTTCAACCTAGTTGTTATCTTTTGTGAACGTGTATGGCGGAGTTTGTATCATAATTCATAAATAACACATGATCCCCCTCACATAATATCAGTCTTGCACAAATAGGAGTTACAGCATGCCATCTTCGTATCCGTTACAGCTAACAACCTACCTTCCTGGCCTTAGAGTGCACAACCAGGTAAATCAGAGGTGATGTGGGAGGCTGTTGTTTCACTAGCTATGAATAGAAAGCCCAACAGCGGTGTAATCAAGTCTTGTAGGGCTGTATCTGTGTGGTAATGTGATAAAAACAGCATTGAGAGGGATGCCCTGCATTTGCAAACAGGGATTCATTTAGTTTTATTGCTGTATTTTTTCCCAGTCAGGTATTCCCTCTGCATGTGCACAAATTTGTCGGTTAATGGGTTTCTTTGGGGCCATTTAAATAAAAAAGACAATCATTTCAAGCTGCTATAGATCCGTGTTAAGAGTCGTTTCTTTGTTTTATTGGAAACAAAGCAGTTGTTTTAGTTGGTGTTGGAGCAGTTTAGTTACTGAAGTGTTTCATTGACGTATTCGCATTTCCATTCCACCCTCGGATGCTCTTTACAACAGCATTCGCAAGCAACACTGCACCTTCCGCTTGGACTCCGCATTATGTTTTGCATGCGCAACTCCGTCAGGATTTATCCAACATCTATGAATTCCTTTCATCACACATCCACTGTTGTTTTCCTTCGTCTTAGCAGCGTTTTTTCTATTATTATTTATTTATTTAAGTGCCACAATTCCAGCGATTGGATCTGACAAAATGCAGTCGTTCCAGTCAGCCAGTCAGTCAGCCAGTCAGAGTCGGCTCCCTGGCCTCCCCTTACATGCTGCCTCTCAAGCTGCTGTTTGCCCAGCCAAGCATGCAGGCAGCCCAAACTTAGATGGAGGCAGATGCTATGGATGACTGATTCACCAGGCGAGCAGAGAAAGGCGAAACAAAACGAGGTTCGGACCGTTGACGAGAAAAATACAATAACCCAGCAGCGTGGCTATTCGACACCCGGCGATGCAGTTTTAAAACCCAACAACTGTTGTACAGTTTTCCATCAATCTTTCCCCACTAATTGTATTTACAAAACCCCTTTTTATTTAATTTTTTTTCCCTGTGCTGCCATAGTCAATCTAAGCTAAGAAAAGTCACACCCAAACCCAGTAAGATTTCAGATCTGTAGCGTGATATGTGTGAGTTTGTGTGAAACTTAGGAGCCTGTCAGAGCGGAGATATATACCATTTCCATGTTGTTGTAAATCAGCCGTTTCTGCAAATAGGTACTGTATATATTACCATCAAATTACAGGAACTTGCATGCAGTGGAGAAAACCAACCAGCCCACGCTCCTGTCCAGGACAATATATAGTAATCAATGTTATTATCAGCTCTGACTGCAGACGGGTCGCTGCATGATTTAAGCTGAGAGCAAACATTGTATTTCTTTGATTAAGTACACGGCTCTGACTTATACCAATCATGCTGAATCTAGATAAATCATTACATAGCCAAACATGGAGCCCACGGATTATCAGCTACAATCTTGACATAATTTCCCGCTGAAGAGGTGTATACATGCTGTTTGAGGTTTGACGTTTTCTCGTCTCTCATCTCTCACTAATGGCACTTCCATTAGTGTGTTTCACCGTTCTTCAAAAGTCGAGGACTTTGCCGCCCTGGGGGCACCTTTCATACGAGAATGTGGCTGTGGATGATGATGAATGTTTCAATCAATTAGCTTATTGCTCAGAACAAGTGGTGGGACCCTGGGGGACTGTAGCCCGTGAAAGGCAGTGACACATAACCTGAATGATTACTCCAGCTGGCACGACAAGGACTCCTGACTCTGCGCTGTTTCTTGTCGAGGGCTGCTGAGTGAGAAGAGCGAGGGTCAATGTATAGAAGTGAACATTTCAACGTTTGATCATAAACACAGGAAAGTGCTGTGAACTTTTAACTTTATCGAATGTTTGCAGTGGTGGGGATGACGATGTCACTCCACCGCTTCGGTCATGATTGAAATATCTCAACAACTATCGGATGGTGTGCCATAAAATTTGGTGCATTCATGGTCCCCCAGAGGACGAATCCTTTGGTGACCCCTGACTTCTCCTTTTGCACCATCATGAGGTCGACATTTGTGATTTTGAGTGAAATATCTCAACAGCTGCTGGATGGATTGCTATGAAGTTAGAAAGGGACATTTCTGTCAGAATGAATTGTAATAACCTGAGTGAACTGACTTCTATCTAGCAACATGCTTATGTTTTCCTTTTGCATTTAGAGCTAATTAGCAAATATTTGCATGCTAACAGGCTAAGCTAAGATGGTGAACATGGTAATCATTGCATCCGGTAAACATCAGCAAGTTAGCATTGTCATTGTGAACATGTTGGTATGTGAGCTGCTCAGTTGCCTGACAATAAAGTACTGATTCAGTTTTCAGAATACATTTATGAAAAATTCACTTTGTAAAATGTATTTTTTGGATTCAAACTTTTTCAAATTTGAAGCAGTACAAATCGAAATGTCAGTCATTGGAGCATTAAAGCTAACAACTGCAAAGGTCTGACTGTCCACTCCAAAACACTTTGTTTGGACGACACCCACACACATGCACACACACACACACACACACACACACACACACACACACACACACACACACACACACACACTCAAAACCACTGCATGAAAGCGGGACGTTTGATGTTGTTGGTGTGGTTTATTTCTGCCTCTCCGCTGCTGAAAAGCTGAAGTGGATATTCCAGCTCTGTCTGTTGAATCACGGTTACATCTTGACCTTGGTTCTCAAGGTTGTCCTGGCCCAGCCCGCTATCATCTCAATCACACGCTGATTTCTCCGCCGTGTACCTTGTGCTGCTGAATTAATAACGCCATCAGTGTTGAACAACTGCCGCCGCCTCCTGCTGCGTCTGCTCTCACCCTCCGCCTCTCATTCTGGTTTTTTACTTTCTCTGCCTCGCTCTTACTTGCAAACAGGCAAGTGTGCACCGCACACAGTTGTTGTCCTCTTTGTTAGGACATAATTTTAACTTGCGTTCATTCCCTGGAGGCTGACCCGAGCTCAAACCATGAACACTACTGTATATTCCTGATTCCAACACTTCTTCTAGTCCAAGCCCATAAATAATTAACCCGGTAG